TTTTCGTACTTCCATATGAATTTAATCTTAAAGTGTAAGTGAAGATGGATTTTATATATAAACGTATTAAATTTTACTTAGTGGTTAAACTTCTAAATCATAATAATTACTCTGCATCTGAGGTCATAATTTTACTAAGGATAAACCTGAGGAAAGTTTTGGAAGAAAGATACGAATGCTTTTTTAGTCTCTGTTGGCATTCCCTCGCTTCTGAGAATAGAACCAAAAGACACATACACCACGCCTTCTGTTGCACTATCAAGTAAGTTTTGATAATCCTTAAAGCTACAATTTTTTTATTTCTCTTTATAATGGTCTACCAATAATAATAACAGAAAATTTAACAAGAGACATTTCCTGCAGACTCTCAAAATGCCAATAATCTGTTCATTCGATGCTAGGAAAGCGTCAAAACATTAGTCAATTACCAGACTTCTTTGCCTGTTGCCAACAAAAAAGTAATTTCCAGAAAAATACTAAAATTTCAAAGCAGTAATTTTTTAACACTGATTAAATTTAGCTGCTGTGATTTTTTTCTTTTTTTCTTAATTTGTTAAAAAGCTGTGATTCTTAATAAGTGTCGCTAGAAATGCCTCTAGCTTTTCTTTACTGATTTATATGCCACTGAGAAGTAATATCAACTAGCTGATAATAGGTAACCAATTTTTCTAGCATACTTGCAAAGCTTAAGGGGGTGCTAATAACGACATCTCCAAATTTTGTCAAGAAGATAAAAGCTTACGAAAACACAGCAATCGGCTGCAAGTCATTCTATTATTTTCGTTAGCATAGCTTCGTTTGGAAAAGATAACGATCGCCTCAGTTATAGGCAGAAAGTATAATTTAAAAATTTGAAACAACTGAAAAATAAAAGCTCCCGACTAATACCGTACAGTTTTGTTTGTAAAGATGGTGCTTTGTAATGACTGAAGAGGTTCAGAAAAAACAAGCTGAACTAGAAAGAGAAATGGGCATTGTTATAAAAAAGTTCATATTCTAAAAGAAAAAAATTTAGAAGATACAAAAAGAAACACAGAGGGTTCTTCTAATTAGAGAAGAATTTTTCTGCATTATCCCTTAGTATGGCAGAAACGGAAGTGTATAAATATACTTTCAGAACTGCTCACACTGCTCAGTGGCTCTGACTTCTTCGCACCTATGCCACCAATGTAAATGATCTTGTGAGTCACTGGACGAGGAAAGTCCAAGTATTCATCCGAATTTACCATAGCAAAAACGCTATTTCGGAATTTTTCCTGTAATTGGTCACTTGAAATGAGTACCACCAGTTGGTCTAATTTTTTATATGCCGTTGTGCACTAAAATATAGTTTAGCAACACAGTTTTCATTTTTTTTTAAAACTACTGATGAAGTCTACTATTATGTCAAAGTCGTCCCGCAGATGTTTTCTGAAAACGCCACTGAATACAAGATCTACGGCAATGTGACGAATTAAGGCTGAGGATACCGAACGCAGAAAATTTTGTACTCGTTCCCAGTAACTCATTTCGTCCGAGAAAGGATTATATAAAACTAGAAAATACTCAAATTTAATAAAAAAGTGAAGAAACGTATTCAATTCATTAACCTAATTACCCTCGACAACATCTTTTGAAGAAGAAAAGTAACAGATATTAAGAAACGTATTTTCAAAAATATTATCTAAAAAGTCGTTGAATAAGAATATAAGAATTCATTTGAAAATATGACGTGCACAGTTTAATTACTGAAACTGAAATTACAAATACATTGTACGGCTTACTTGGTACAAAACTTGGATTGCTATCAATACCTAAAGGAATGGTTACATCTTCGTTAAGACACAACGAATCTGCCGAAATGTATTTTTCAACATTTATTTTCTCGAAATAAGCTAACCCGCATGGATCTATGTGTTCGCTGATGCCAAGATCAAATTTTTCTTTACGGAACTGTTCGATTGTCACTGTGTCTTCTAGAGCTGCTGAAACTCCTGATCGTCAACAAACCACATTAAGATCAAGGTATGATTTAAAAAAAGTAATTAGGTGAAGTATTCACTTCAGAAAGTTGTTTTCATTTAGAGGCTCAGTTCACCCCTCCACTCCCCCGCCTCCCGTAGAAAATGTAATATTTGTTGGTTCTTTAAGAAGTAATTTTTAAAAGTTTCTAAGAAATTCTCTTACTCAATGAAGTCAACAGAACTTTTATATATCAGTAATATAAACAATAATTTTTGCTAAACCATGCACTTATTCATCACTATTATTTGGGTTGTATAATTGTCAACTGTTAGACGTACTTTAGCGTTTTAAGCCACTAATTACCTACATTCACAAAGACGAGATAGATAGTTTCCCATAAACCGCATTATCTGAAAAAAAAAGAAACAGCTTGAAGGTCGACGGAAAGTTTCTCGCAGCATGAATTTTGAAATTGAAGAAAAGAAAATGAAACTATTTGCAAGTTCTGAAGAGTTTTTTCTGAAAACCTTTATTACAGCAAAAACGCTGATTTGCTGTTTATCCCACATTTCCGACATAAATCCCAAAATGTCATAATCTATCTCAAACGAGAGAGATTTTGTAATAACTTTCGCCTCTCTTGGATTTGGGGCGGTGACGTTAGGCATAAACTCCAGCGAATAGACTGTCTGTAAAAGCAGATTTTTGATCGTTGTTAAATACACTTTTTAAAGGTATTTTTATATCTATTATTTATCATACGTTTCATCTTAATGCACTATTACAGAACAATATAGAAAATCAAAAATGAAAAACTGAAAAAAGTTAGTTCACCACTTCGTGTCCAGCGTCTGCCAAAACATCAGCAATGGTACTCATGAAAATTACATGACTACGTGAAAGATGTGGTGCATAAATTAAGATTTTGTAAGGACTGGCGAAATGAATCAAAAGAGGCAGTAAAATAATTCTCAACATTAGAATCTGCAAAAGAACAAAACAGTTATTAGAAAACTTCATAACTGCATGAAGCTACAAAATATGTCAAAGATTGATTATTTTTCGAGAAACCACTTTCTGTTTCCAGTGTTATTACAGTAGACTTGCATAGCTTTAAAAATCATTTAAGTGTCTACAAAATAAGCTTTAAAACACGTAATAATTGTAAGACTGATAATAACAACCACAAAACTTTTATAAGGCAGCGACGGAAGAAGACGATAATGTAGCAAGAGTAATAAAATAAATTAGATTAAAGAGAAGTAAGCATTTAATGAG